ACCGTGGTTCGAGCACTGAAGGTTTTTAAGTACTGACACATTTGGTAGGTAAGTGAAAGGTCGGGGGATGATTTCCCAGTTGTCCCTTTTCAGATAGCAAAAAGTAGGTAAACATAGTCAGATGGGGGGTGGAGAGAGGGAGGTTTCATTTCTGTTTGTAGAATGTAAATAGTTTTCTGCCTAACTATTCAAGATGTGTAAAAGATTTACGTTGTTTCTTATGGTTACTGAATTGTGACTATTGGCTAGTAATGAAGTGAACATAAACAAGAGGTGCCAATCATTATAAATATAACATAGTTTGATTAAAGATAATGGTTAGCCAAATAATATTTATAATAAAGATAATTGTAATGATACGTAGGACAATATATTATACAATATTTTAAGAATAACAATATTAATCATAATAGACTAGCTTCCTTCAATAAATAATTGTTAAGGTCACCAGTGTCAAAATAGACAACATGTATTATCTATTAGGCTTCTCTGTATCTTTAAATATTAAATAACCTATTTAAAGTAGATATATCTGGGATGTTATATAAACAAATCGAAAATGTGTTCACTGAAATCGACTCACTAGAAACGCTACTTTTACAGAATTTCACAAATTTCTCGACAACAGCCCTAACAATTTTGATTACACTTTAATTTAAAAATTAATAGTCGTAAATATCAGCTAGGTAAAATCCTCATTGAAATTATCTTACAGACGAATTTAAAAATGGATCCCTCTACGTTTATATTATTGAATAAAAAGTAAATGTTTTCATGGAAAACATATAGAATAATCGAGGAAATTAAATTGTAACATTTAAATTATATTTTAACATTAATTTTCTAGTCACATCCTTCGGGTTTGGTGCCATTTTCTCATAATTTAACATATGTCTATTTTAGGCCATAGGTCACCAAAAAAACACAGTTTTTTTTATTTATTTCCTGTATGTTTATTCAACGTTTCGGCTTCAGGAGCCATTTTCAAGAACCTGCAAATCTAAATTTTAATTTATTTTTTACCATTCAAGTATAGCCTCAGACAACTTGAACTACCTTTGTCTGAGGCTATACTTGAATTCTTAAAAAATAAATTAAAATTTAGATTTGCACGTTCTTGAAAATGGCTCCTGAAGCCGAAACGTTGAATAAACATACAGGAAATAAATAAAAAAAACTGTGTTTTTTTGGTGACCTATGGCCTAAAATAGACATATGTTAAATTATTTTAACATTAGAAAACCAATATGAAGTGCCCAGTGCATTGGATTTCATATAAATCTTCTGTCTGAAGTAATTTTTTATTTAATTATTTAAAATCAATTTATTTTTAAAGTAGGTTAGTAAGTGAAAGTTATATTATGTGTGCACCGCACGAGATTATTTTTATTGAACAATTTTCAAATAATAAATATTATGTCATAATTTCAACGTTTTTACTTCTATTCAATTTCATAATCAATGATTATTGAATAGTTACATGCATAGTATATGTATTATATCCGTAATATTTTGTGGTATGTGTAAGGTTGTACTTAAATAATACTTCTTAAAAATGTATTATTTATGTAAAATTTTTAGCTTGGTTCAATGTTGTTAATTTGATCCTATTTAACCCCATCAAAAAAAAAAAAATAGAAATAATAATAATAAAAAAAATTAGCTATACCTGCGTAACTTTTAAGAGACGAAATATTCGCGCAAATCGAGGCATGATTAGGTATGGTAATATATATACATTCATGGATGTATGGTACATAATCGATATAAACAAAAAATGCTAATAATCCTAAGCGAAGCTAATGACTGTTAAGATGTTATGTCATCGGTTATTAATATCAGGAATAACAATGGAACCAGGGAACCTTGCCACAGTTTTATACGTTCACTTTCTTCGTTAAGTAACAGGACCTTGAGGAACTAGTAAGAGTGAAATGTACACTTCCCGTGGTTCCTACCAACCTCCAAGGTAACTAATTTATGGTTTTAGACCTAGAGAAAATTTCCATAGGATTCGTTCTGCATTAAACCACTACACCTTTCATTAGCTTATTAGATAAGAAAAATATTGATAATTATGGTGATTCTGATGAGAAGGTAATACCGATTTTAATGCGATTTCCAATAGTTTTGGTTATTTAAGTAGAAATGTAGGTTATTTTATTAAGTTTTAAATTAGATTCAGATAATACTTTCAAAGACGTATAATTATTTAACTATTTTTCATGAAAACGATCGCTTCACAAGCATAATGTTGCCTTAATCCCCATCTATTTCTCTTTATATTTTTTAAATGGTCCCATAGTAATATATTTGTAACATACGATTTTTTATGATGTGCTATATATAATTTATAATTATGTTTATTTTTTTTTACTCAGTAATATAACAATATGTCATACGGGCAATAATTATAGTGAGGTATAAACACATTCACACCATATATACAAAAAAATATAAAATAAACAAATGGAAAATAATAATTAAAAAGTATATAATTATATTAGATATATGTGTTGTGTTATTTAACAAGTTATTTTATTTAAGCTCATCTCTGAATACATAATGTCTTCCTCATCCTATAGATGGCCTTATATTGGTGATAACTTTGATAATATTTATTTTTAGTATTTATTTAGCATTATTGTTTTGTTTTTTTAAAATAATTTCTCTTACTTTAAAATGCTTATGCTTATGTAATCTTTATATTTATTTTTGTGAAAAGATATTTCATATTAATCGAATGAATAATTTTAAAAAATAGAACTCCTTTTTCAAATATCGAGGGACGTTAAATGTAGAAATACTGAGGACCTCGACATTCAAGTAAGGATTTCTCTTTTTGGTGCTTTTTTTTTTTTGTGTGTGTGTGTAAACAAAATTTATGTAATTCCAAGTCCAACCTTCAGCGGAAAGCCGGTTTCATCAAGTGTTAGAAATTTCATTCGAGAAATTGCCGATTCACTAACTCCTAAAGAGCAACGGGCAGATTTCTGGTTTTGCAGATTTTTATTTTTCAATCGTTAAGGAGATTCGAAAACGATTTTGTAATTAGTCTCCCCAAGAATGATTTTGTGTTCATCGTTTGAAACGGCAATTTCTTAAAAAAAAATAAAAAATGAATGTTTTCACCATTCGTAAAACCGAATTAATTAACGGAATAAAGAGGAATGACATATGAGTAGAAACATTATACATGTAGCAAATTGGAAATTTTGGAAGTTGGTGTGTATACGATAAAAAAAAAAAAAAAAAAAAAAAAAAAAAAAAGGAAAGGAAATAAGTTACTCAATTAATTAATAATAAATATTTAAAATATATCAATTAAATAATATATATTGCACTTATTTCTTAAAAATATTTCTTGTACTATTGTTGGTATTTCATAAACAAATAAAATTAGATAATTTTAAAAATATATCCAGTTCAATTCATTCATTGGGGATCAATATATATTGTGATTCATTTTCCGTCATTTTGATTCATCTGTCAATATGACGGGCTCTAGAGAGGAAAAAAAAAGTTGAATTAAAAAAAATATATTTAATATATAGTTAAGGGGAGGAACTGGTCAAAACATAATAAGAATTTAGGATTGAATAAAATCTTCGACTCATATGAAACTAATTTAAATTATTATAGTTATAAAATAAGTTTTGGTAAAATCAATGATACAATTACAGATTCACACCTTACTTTGTCTGAACACGAACTATTTGACATTACATGCACGTATCGCTAGCCGATATGCCAACCCCTAAAAAACCCGATTCTAACAAAGGGTTTCATTTTCGGTTTTAAAATTAAATAAATATAAGTAAAAAGAATTTTTATTCTGTGTTTTCGTTTTTAAATAAATGAGGCCCATACGCGTGTGTGGTGTCCATACATGGTGGTCCCATGAGTAGAGGCAAATTATCAAAGGGTTCATTCATAGAAGACCTCAGAGGTACAAACGTCTTGATATAAACAATGGTTAGTTTTTTCACTGGAAAGTAGGAAATTTAAATTTTGTGTTTTTTTTTTAAGTGTGTCAAGTTTTTCTATATCTAAAGAAATAAAGAAGTGATATCTAAAGAAAATATTTTATCTAATTAATTAACTTTCGCTTCACAGTAAATTAGACGAAAATTTACTTCAAACGAAATTGGAGTTTATCATTGCCAAAACCAATTGAAAATTGATCGGATTCATTAAGCTTAGTTCTGTTAAAAAAAAAAAAAAAATCATGAATTATTCTTGATTTATTTTTATCACCCTCCAATCATTCTACAGATATACCACTTCTAGAAACAACTTCCTTGATTAATAAGCTTTTAGTTTTTAATAATAAATTTGATGTTTATTTCGAAATTAGTTGAGATTCGCCTCAAGTTGGATAAAAAAAAACAGGTGATATGATCTCCCAAAAGTACTCGTTTTTTCAGCAGTAATGGTTGCAAAAAAAAAATTTTCCCATGGCATGGGAGTTATTATAATAATAAAAAAAAAATTTTTACATTGCTTATTTATTGAAAAATATTACAATCTGTCTCAAGGACATTTATAATAGTGTTCATAGATCACATTCACACTCTTTGCACAGTAAATAAAATAAATTATACAGAAAAATAATTAAACAAAAATTAAATACACTTTTTATTTGTAAAAAATTAAAATAATATTTTTTTGTTGATTGCTTGAACTTTTTTATAGCTCTTGAGATCTACTATAATCTCTTTAAATATTTTTCCCTACTTACGGAACACCCTGTATTTATTGATTTTTTATTTTTTTTTTTTTATATTATATTTTTTATATTTTATTGTTACCGAAAAAATGTAAATGTTTGAAATTTCGTGTGTTTTAAAGATTTTTTTTTTTCGTTTATATATATATATATATATATATATATATATATATATATATATATATATATATATATATATATATATTTTTTTTTTTTTTTTAATATGACTACATGAAGCAGTAGATATATCAGAGGATGTTTGACCACTTACCAGAAGTAGAAGATCTGATGTTGTGCCGACAGTCGTCGCGGACGGACCTCCTGACCGGCGAAGAATATGCCCTCGGAGGAGATGGAGAAGGAACAAGACACAAGGACAACGACAGAAACACTGGTCCGCTCGGGGTGGTGGAGCCCTCCCCCCAGCTCCGGAGATTCGTTGCGTCACCAGCTTTCTACATCTCAACTCCTTTCCTTCCTCGACCTTCTCCTACCGTCTTTTTTCCTCACCAATTACTTTTGACAGAGTTACCTCTGATGATCGTTATGAGCTACTTCCAAGTGACCACTTAACACAGCGAGCCTAGCTCTGAATGGCCGGTTCAAAGTCTGGCTGACTTAATAGTTTTCTCTCAACAGAAAAATAGTGAGCTCCATCAGGATGAGGACCATGGTTTTGCCTTATGATATATAAGTATAATGAGCAAAAAAAAAAAATAAAAAAAATATGCTGTTGTCTCTTGTTAACAAGAATTCGGACCGAACCCTCCATTTCGTAACAATGGGAATTTCCTCTAAGTTAAATCAAGTTTCCATTGTTATTTAGGATTCTTAGTCTCCTTGTAACTATTTTGAATTATATCTATGAGCCACTCTGTACTTTGACTAGGACATAATTCCCCTGTATTTAAATAATATAAATTAAATACCCATAGAGAAAATGTTATCTCTGCTATTCTTGCAATAGACCCTTACTATGGCAGTCTTTCCCCTTTCTGCCTGTAAAATTTGTATTTCATTCCTAAGGAACCTTTTTAAAAAATACTTCAATTAAACAGTAGACTTACCTTATTTCAGCTGGATTTAACAGAAAATCCTTAAAAAATTGAGATTTTTGGTCCATCTCATGCTTGGTTTGTAACGAAATAAAAAGATAAACTTAAAAATCTGGTGCGCCCATCACGCGACATTCACTTACCACTCTCTTCTTAGCAGAAATAAATATTTTCAAAGGAGAAGGGAAAGCAAACCGCATATGTATATGTACATAGACGCTTTATTTATATACATTTCATGGGTGCTATTTTTATTTGATTAATTACCCTTATCCGAATGCTTCAACACTTACTAGACAAACACTCTAAACTTTCAATCAATTAATTACAAAAGACTCATCTACTTAACCATAATAAGACCTATATGGGCATACAGAGTTGAGCTTTGGGATTCTACCAAGCCATCAAATTCCTATCGTATTCAATCCTTACAATTCAAAATCCTTAATGCCCCATATTTTGTCACAAATAAAACCATTCATAAAGACCATATGTCGCTGATTTAGCCCGAGCCAGATACCTATATTTTCATGATAAACTCCAGTCCCATCCGAACCCACTTGTTTCCACCCTTGCTTCTTTGTCGATCCCTGATAAGCTCCCTAGGCGTCTGAAAAGAAGATGGCCTCGTGAACTTCTCATCTAGAATTAAATAGGGAGTGCTACCATTGGGCAGTATCTCTTCCAGTGTGTTCATGTCATTATTACTAATGTGTACATTTTTACTAGTTGTATTGTTTGTACAGTTGTAACTTTCATTAAATAAAAAAATTACCCTTATATATACAAATTTCAATCTTTTTTATCGCTGTAATCTATGCAATTAAATATTAAACAATACAAATGATAGCATTTATGAAAACCTCATATGTATATGTACTCAATAATATTGGAGTCCGTATTATATTAAGCTCGTGTTATGGTTCCTCCATTACCACTATTATACGTTACGATCTCTTATATCTCCTTTAGTTAACGATAAAATTCTTTAATATGTTATATTTAACTTTTTTTTATATCAGAGATTAATGTGAAATGGTTAATTATTTCAAATAAAAAATATTAAAGGGACTTTAGAGGAAGCTAATATTGAAAAATAGTCATTTAAGCCCTGTTATAGAACATCAATGAAAATAAAACCTACATTGTATTAAAAACTTCTTAATTTTATACTGATATAATAAATTTAATCAAAATCGTCAGATCCGTTTTCGAGAAAATCGTAAAAATGTCTTAAATCGATAATATAAAGTTCCACTTTCGGTTAGCCGATTTTGACGAAAATGTTGCTGTAACATCCCAGGCATATAAAAATCTTAAATATGAAATTTCACTTTCGTACGACTTTTCGTTTTTGAGCTAGACTGTTAACACATACACATAGCCCAACTAGTGGGACTTGGTTATTTGGACTCAAAACGTGTATTTCCGTTGAAAACTTAGATTCTTAAATTTTCACGATCGCAATACTTTCCTTTACTATATATTTCACATAGGTAAGTGAATGTAAACATTGGTTTGTATTAACTTAACGTGAGTTGAAGGAACTATAGCTTATATTGTCTATTTTTGTTAAATGTAATACTAGACAATGAAAAATTAATCGATGATCTTGGTCCAAGTGATATTTCATAGAAAAATTATATTTAGATTTTAAAGTTGTCATGAAATATTTTTAAAAACATACGGGTTTAAAAAAAAAAAGATTCACAAATCATTCAATGACTTTTTTAAACAATAATATGGCTTCTATACTTTTTTCTCACTAGATTCTTAATTGGCCACACTGTGCGTCGGGACAAAATAATATATAAATAATTTATTTTTAATTGTGTTTCTCACCGCGATTGTAATCCCTAATCATATCATCTGCATTAAATTATTTCTTCAACTCTTATTTCTTCTTATATAAATTTTACGTAATGCGAATTTCTTCATATATATATAAAAAAAAAACATGAATAGCTTTATTATATATAATTTTTTTTTTTATTCATGCATTCTTTGTTTTCTTTTATTGATCATTTTACTGATTGAAGAAAGAAACGTGTACAAAAACAAATTATTACATATGGTAAAGATATACATAATATGTATAATTTGCCTTATTTATTGATTAAGAAATAAAAATTATATATGATTGAACAATATAATTTTACTAGTGAAGGATTTTATTGAATTCCAGAAACGTCGTCAAAAAGTAATGCGGTTGAAAGCCTTATTTGCTTTAAAATATATCTGTTTATAATTTAATAAATGTTCAAATATAAATATGTTAGGTTTACTGTACAATAAATGTTAATGCAAAGATGTTGCTACTTTTTTTTATGGCGGGAGGAGTAAAATACGAAATTTTTAATAATTTAAGTACATATATAAAATACAATTTATATTTCATACAAAATTCAATTTTAACTTTGAATGTTAAAAAAATAAAATGTATTTAATTACTTAATGTATTTCTTTGGATTTGATTTTTTTTACATTATATGATAACAATATTGTATCTTTAAAATCTCTATTACCTAACTTATATGTAATTGGTATTGCGTTCAATATTTAGCAGCTTTTTGAGTATAAAGTTTTAATGCAACTTTTATGGTTTAAATTAAATTTTTAGGTTTCTAATTTATTGGTGAGGAGGCGACCCCCATTACGACATCCGCGATGCGATATTGAGATTAAAATATGACCATTTTTATGGTTTTCCTTGCGGAACAGAAAGATCCAAAAAGAGGAAGGAAGCTCTTGTTACGGCGAAATCTCGTTATAGCGGCAAGTGTAAAAAAATCACTATTCTGTATTGAATGTAATACTATTGGTTATGTCAGGTATACATCATTTTCGCGTTTCGATTTCCCACGCAAACGTTCGTGTAACGTGATCTAAAGTTGGCTTTGAGTTATGTAAGAACCATTCAGATGGGAAGATCTTACCATTTTGGTCGCTCCAATCCTCACACTACACTAATCACTTCTAGTTTAAGCATAGGCTCAGACTTCGGGGGAGGGAGGAAGCGAGGCGATCGCCCCCCTAATAAAAAGGAAGATGACCTCGTGATCTTCTCATCTAGAATTAAATAGGGAGTGCTACCACTGGGCAGTATCTCTTCAAGTTTGTTTATGTCATTATTACTAATGTGTGCATTTTTACTACTTGTGTTGTTTATACAGTTGTAAATTTAAATAAAAAAATTACCCTTATATATACAAATTTCCATATTTTATCGCTGTAATCGATACCTAACCACCCCTAACCAATGATAGCATTTAAGAAACCGTATATGTATATGTACATAATAATGTTGGAGTCCATGTTGGAGTAATTATATTAAGCTCATGTTACGTATTGATACTGTTCTAATCTTCCGGGCGAACTCGGGTGCGTTCGTATTCCTTTGGTTCCTCCATTACCACTATTATCCGGTACAATCTCTTATATCTCCTATAGTTAACGCTTAAATTCATTAATATATTATATTTAACTATTTTTTATATCAGAGATTAATGTGAAATGGCTCATTATTTCAAATAAAAAATATTAAAAGTAGTTAAGAGGAAGCTAATATTGAAAATTAGCCATTTAAGCCCTGTTATAGAACATCAATGAGAATAAAACCTAATCTCTTAGCGAGGCGATCGCCTCCCTAATCTAAATAGAGAGTGGTGAGAATATCGTTTCGGCCGCCCCCTCCCCCTAATATTTCGAAGAACAAAAATTAAAAAAAATTAATAATAATTAATATACATGAATTGAATGAAATATGTAAACCAAAACCAATTAAGAAAATAGAAAAAGTTGATTAGATGGTTGAGCTAAGCCAAATAATTTTTCACGCCCAATGTTTCTATTATAAAAATTTATGTTTATATTCAATGATAATTATATTTAGCTACATATCCTATGATTATATCACATTTTCCGGAGAATGTTTGAAGCATCCGAGAATTGAGAGTTCATCTAATTGCCTTCAAACCTTTAAATAAAAATAGATAATATTTAATATAATCAATTGCTTTTTAACGTATTTTTAAATATACTCATAAGCAAAAAAAAAATTATAGACATATGTATACATTTATTTTTAAAGAATTAGTAATGTATTATTGGTTTTACAATAATTATGTTTTATAATAATAAATTATCACTCATAATGTTTATACATAATATAAACTCCCTTTATTAGACTTTATTTTGGGGGGGGGGGGGTCCACTCTCCCCCCTAGCTAGAATGGAAAGTCTGCGTCTATGATCACCTAAATCACTGGTGGATCTACGGGGAGGAGGTTTTCAGGCTAAAGCTCCTTCCCCAAAAATGGAAAAAAAATTGTTTTCATTGGTCCATATATGTTACTGTGACTGATATAAGCTAAATATTTAAACAATAACAATACATTCTAATTGTTAAATTAGAATGAATATAGAGCTATCAGATAAAATCATGTCTTATGAAAAAAAATCTGGTGCAGGGCTCGCATCGCACAACCTCCACTTACCACCCTCTTCTTAGTAGAAATA